AAACCATCGGCCCTCCGTCGTCTTCATCCTTTGCCGGTGTCGTCTCCATCCTTCGCCGTCGTCGTCTTCATCCTTTGCCGGCGTCGTCCTCCTCCATCGGCCTCCAATTAATAAAAATCTGCAATTTTTCCTAGCAGTTCCTCCTCTTCCTTGTTTCCTCCACATTCATCTCCTTCGTCGGCGTCCTCCTCCATCAGCGTCCTCTCTTCTGCCAGTATCATCGTTGAGTTGGTAAGCGATTTTGGGTGTTCAATTTTTGTCCTCCTCTTTCATGTTTCCTTCTCAACCTAAGGGATAAAATTGATTTTGGGAATCCGATTTTTGCAGATAAAGCAGCCCGGCGAATCTTCTTTTTCTTGCCTCCTCATCTCCGCCAAACTCCTCTTTCTCTGCCGGGTCTTCCTCTTCCCGCATCAGCTGTCATCCTCCTTGTGGCGGTAAGTTTCGCCTCCTTCCTCCTTCTTTCCTCATCCTATTTAAACATTGCACTATTGATAGCACCAAATTTACTGTCTCAGTCCACAACGAATCTTAAATTTAGACGGTAAACAAATTTACTTGCCTTTGGTGTTCCTAGGTAATAGACGGTAAACATGTCGATGCTTAGATTTAGATAGGCGTAAGCTAGCCTTTGGTATTCCTAGGTAATCGATATTAACTACAACCTCTAGCTAGGAGTGGGTTAGGTTTGCAGTCTTGCTTAGTTAGGATTGTTACCTGTTTGCTCATATTATTAGTTTTTGAATAATTGTGTTTGTAGGTATGAATTTGGAATTGCCAAAACGGTTGTTTAAAGCAGGACGTGAGCCTCAAGTATCACATATTAACATTAACTGCAAAATGACATATATGGAGAAATTGGAGGGAGCCCTGCCACATGAGTATGAAATTGTCAAGAGAGACTATATATTTGCTAAAATTTTAGCGATCCATGAAAACAATCTAGGATATTCGGAAAGATTGCTTCACAGCTTTATGTGTAGCCAACTGATAACTGACAAACATCGTGAGATGTGGTTTGTGTTTGGCAGGAGGCCCCTACGGTTTTCTCTGCAAGAATTCTATGCAGTTACTGGACTCAAGTGCTTAAATGAGGATAATTGCAATGTGGAGAACTTTGTAGAAGATACAGGTTTTTGGAGCAAGGTGATAAAGAATGCCGCTAAGATTAGCATGAAGACAATAATGGATAAGCACTTAAAAGGTGCTAACGATTGGGATCGTGAGGACAGATTGAGGTTGGTGTATTTGTGTGTTATTGCTGGTTTTCTTATGGCTAAGGATGAGAAGGTTGCTATCCCACTTATATACATCAAACTGGTGATGAATCTTGATAACCTGCGGGCATATCCATGGGGTCATGAATCTTTTACAGTTCTTGTTGACTCAATCATCAAGAACCAAAAGAAGTTGAAGAAGACAACATAATCTTTGGATGGCTTCTCCTACGCATTTCAGATTTGGCTCATGGAAGCAATTCCAGACGTTGGTATATTGTTGGGCCGGAAACTCGAGAATGCTTCCACAGAAAGTGCCAGGTGCTGTAATTGGACAGGAGCTGCAAGAGTATCGTATGATGAGATTATTCAGCTTGAGAGCACATTTGGATCAGAGGTTTGTAATTTTTTGAAAACATTGAATAATTTATATTCTCAATTCGTCTATATAACTAATTATTTGTTTGTACTTTCTTATAGGATGTTCTTTATCCATACATCTCTTCTTCCGGGAATTTCGATATATTCGAATCTGCTGAGTTTTTATGGTCTGACGAAATGCATGATGGAAGAGTTGATCATATGAAAGAGCTGATCAGAGTTGGAAATGACTGGAGTGAACATATATGGGAGTTTGTAGAATCTGGTGAGACTTCTTTGCCTGATCATAACGAGATTATTGATGAGGTACTTGAAGTGAGAATTTCTAATGTTGAAAACAGCTCAGTTTCTGGTTTTAAGAGGGGCATTAACAAGCTCCATGACCTTGGTGCGGAGAAACGAAAACAGAAATTGTTGTGCCAAAGATCAGCTGTAAAACATGGAACTTTTGTTGAAGACATGAAGTCTTTTTTGGAAGAAATGTTTCAGACTTCTTTCGCTGCTTTGGAGGAGAAGCTTGAGAAAAAAATTGATGAAGGATTGGGGAAATTAGAGAATGAGTTCACAAAATCAAAGATTCAGTCACTCTACATGCATTTGTAGGGACATGTGGAGAACCTTCTAACTTAGATGTCAACCAATCTCAGTCCAAAAGAACGGTAAGCAAGAAAAAAACCTCTAAGTCTTGATCACCTTCGATTTTACATAATGTCTGTTGTTTTTTGTTTCTGAAATGGAAGGTTGCTTATGTTGTCGCTTGTTTGTTATTTGTTTCTCCAAATGTAATGATGTAATGATGATTAACAATGTATTGTGTTTAGGCCTCTTTAACAATGTATGCCTCGTCATGTTTTATCATAAATGTTATTATTTCTGTCTTTTTATTATTGTTATATGAGTTATCTTTCTATATTAACAGGCTGAAAATCGTAATGGAGTAATCGACAAAGTGTCCACGAATTTACAAGAAGTTTTTGAGAGTCAGACATCAGATATTGAACTGGAAATGGGTACACAAGATTTCCTCCGCAAAACTATGGACCGACTTTCTCAGGATTCATATGTAAAAGGTTTTTATCTAACACTGCCTGCAAAAATCCAAGAACCATCACATTCTAGTGTTGATGGTAAGTGGTCCGAATTTGAAAGAAGGGACCCAACAAAGGATGATGATTACAAATTAGTTTACGTGTCAGACGAATCATGGAAGCAACTAAATGACTGGCATATGTCTTTCTCGCCTATGTAAGGCCTATAACTTTTTCTTTTGGGAAATTTTTTTTTTCCATATTTGCTTAATTAATAAATTATAAGTGTGTTTATATGGTTTCAGATCTCTGTAGATTGGTCCAAGTGTTTTTAATGATAATTTAGCTAATCGTATAATTGGACCAAAATCATGGCTTGGAAACGAGATTAGTAGTCAACGAAATATTATTTTCTAAACTTGACATGAGACGCCACTAATTTACATGTTAATTTTTTTTCCCAGGATATGGATGCTGTCATGTACTTATTTCGAGAGAACACAACTTTGCGTCGATGGAAACCAGATCGAGTTGCTTTCTTGAACTGTTTATTCAGCCACCAAATCAGTACTGTTTACAAAAAGTTTTTGGAGAACAAAAAAGAATTTAAATGGGATAGTTTCTTCTTAGCTTACGCAACCGGTGATCTTCAGCAGGGTTATTGGTCCTAACATCATACCTGAAACCGGGAAACAGACAACGAGCCCATTTTTTCACATCAGCATCTTGTAGATATTTTTCAATGCCCGGACTAAAATTGCAGATATCTTTGAAATATCTCTCAAAATCAGCAATCCTGTATGCTTTTGAAGCCTTTGCAACGAGGTCAGTCAAACCTTTTTCCTTGAAATATGCTACCACATTATTTAGCAAATGGTAAATGCAAATTCCATGTCTAAAACGAGGGTACACTTTCAGTAGTGATTTTTCGATTGAGGAATTTCTATCTGACACAAAAACCAAACTATCCTCATCTGCAATGACAACCTTTAGTTGCATTAAAAACCACTCCCATGACTTGTCATTCTCTGAATCAACAACCCCAAATGCAATTGGATACAAATTAGAGTTACCATCTAAAGATGTAGCGACAAGTAGAGTTCCTTTGTATTTACTCTTCAAATATGTACCATCAACAACAATGACCTTCCGAATAGCTTTGTAGAACCCTCTAATAGACTGACCGAAAGAAACAAAAAGATATTTGAATCGACCATCGTAATCAGTTTTGTAATCAGTATGCGTACCCGGATTAGCTTCTTTTAGCATGTGCAAGTATTTTGGTATTCTACCATAGCTTTTCTCCGGAATACCTCTAACAGCATTAACTGCATACTCACGGGACTCCCATGCTTGGTTATAAGAGATCCCGCAACCATGGTCCACACGCATAATCTGTATAATATCATTCAGCTTAGGCCCTTCCTTGGCACCCTCATACTTGTGCATAATCAGATTGCCAATCGTTTTTGCTGAAGCTGTCCTACCAGATTTGTTTAAAATTCCAACTGAATTTTGTTTTAACTAACACCTTGTTCAATCCCCTAGTCCTCTAAAACCATCATCTTTAACTCTTCAAGGCTGGTAATAGATTCCAAATCAAGTAATAGACCTCCTATTTTTTTTTATCAATGATGAATCTCCACTCCTTGTTCACATCTGATTTCCATACACCACATTTTACATAGATATGCCGTATATTAATTGAACAGAAAACGCAGAGAAGAAAAAACCCTAGAAAAAGAGAGAAAAAAAAGAAATCGAGAGCTTGTAGAGTTATGGTCTTTGAAAGAGAAGATAAGTTACGCTCTTTGAAGAGAAGAGAAATCGAGAAACCTTATTTCTCAAAAAACGAATTTTAAATAAATTTAGAAAATATTCAGTTGGGATTTTTTTCTTTTTTCCAGATTTTCTTCAGATTTTTGTAGAAAACATATTATACGTAGAAAACACCTTTTACCATTTAGTAGACAACAAAGTAAATGGTAGAAAATGTATTCTACCACCGGTAGATGATAGAGAAAACAGTAGAAAATATATTTTACGGTCGATTGATGATAGAGCAATAAGCAGAACACATATTCTGCCAAATCGTAGATGGTAGAATTTGAATTCTAACTTTCGATATAAGAAAAAAGAATCAGTTTTTCCCAGAAATTTTTTTTATAGATGGATAATTCTTTGTTTTTATATATTTTTCATAAAACAGATTTTAAAATAATTTATTAAAATTTTTAAATTTTATATAAGGATTTTTTAGTCAAAAATTGACAAAAATTTTAAAAAGTTAAGTAGGACAATAAGTTAATTAATATTTACCTATTTACACAAATTTCCCATTAAAAAAGAAAAAAAAATATTTGTTATCATAAAGAAAAAAAAAACCAAGAAAATCTCTCTTCCTTTTTATCACTTAACGTGTCTTTTACTAAACGTCGTCGTATGCGGATATCTTTTTGTGCTCCTAACGGGCCAATTTTCATCTCTAACCTCACTTCCTTCTTCATCTGCAATGGAAGCGAGAATCATCCACCAAATTCAAATCCCGAAGAACCCTAATCGCAGATTATCTCGTCCTCCCCTAGATTTCCCGCCCTTTATCAGAGCTTCTTCTTCAACCTCGCAGGTTTCTCACCTCCTCATCTTCCTTTTCCCCCTTTTGCTGTCTCTTTTTTTCTCTCCCCTTTTGTTTTTAAAAATTTCTGGGTTTTTCGGGTCACTAGGAGCAGAAAAGTTACAGAGGTCCGAAACCGAGCAAGAACTTGGTGGCCGATTTCGTCTCCAGAAACGATGACTCGGTACGGAGCTTGCCGATCTACGTCGGAGGCGCTTCTCTCTTGGCCGTTCTCTTCAATCGCGCTGTTTCGGGCATCGCTCCCGTCGCCGATGCTAGCAGGTAATTTCTCCAAGCTCCAATATTTGATCGGAAGTATACCGAAGACTAAAACTCTCTGCAAATCTGTGATTAGTTCGGTTTATCTAATTTTTGAGCTGCCCCCAAATTGAGTTTTGGTACAGAATTTTCGGAAACGAAATGTGATTCGAGGGTCAAGATTAAAAGAACATTGCTTTGGTGTTTTAGTTCGATCACATTATGGTTTTTTTAATTCGTAGCTCACAGTCTAGAGCAGATCTATTGGCGCTTGGCTTAGCCGTCACCAATCTATTGACCGGTTTAGTCTGGTTATCGATTCGACCTAAGTCCATAACACCAGTAAGATTTCTAAATCCTTCTACTATTTCACTCAATAACCAAGTGTGATTATGAATCTTGGAGGATTTCGATTGAGCAATGTTAATCTTGGCTTTGTTTGGTATTAGGTAGAGCCTGAAGGTGTGGAATGTAAAGTTGTAGAATCCAATCTTCCTGCATCAATGGTCTCTGAATTATTATGGTAATATACTTTGTTTCATATCTTTTATTACAATTACAGATTAGATGCATGTTCTTGTGGAAAGATCACATATGAGTTCCTTTCCTTGTCTATTTCCTCAGGGCATGGGAATCTCTTAAGACAGCAACATGTTGTAAGTCTCTGGTTATTGTCTACAATGGAATTTGCCTTATTCAAATCGGGATGGTTGCTGAATCTCCAGAGGATAAGAAAGCAATCATAGTAAACACTGATAAACTGATGCAAGGATCGGTTTACCAAGGCGTAATGAGATCGAAAGCTCGTAAGTTACAAATCTAGTTTTGTATTTTTGTGAGAGTTATGCATTTATCTAAGTAGAGAAAAATTGATTGGTTTTGTCAGAAAGTTACTTGGCCAATCTTTCTCTTTACCCTGGGAGATCACAGCTGCCATTTCTACCTGCAAATACACAGGTTTGTTTGAGGATTTCGAGTATTAACAATTGATAGATTGAGAGGGAATAATGTAGCTGCGACAATTTTTTTCTCTGTTAGGCTGTGATTTTGCAGCCGCTTGGAGATAAAGGAGTTGCAGTTATTGGCGGAAACACAATAAGAGGCTTCACATCTTCAGATCAAGTAAGGAAAAATTGTTTACTTCTCTGTATTGTTTGTGACTTTAAGAAAAATTATCAAGATAAGTAAAAGAGTTTCATTATATAATCTAGGCTTGGATTTCTTCAATTGGGGAGAAGCTAGATGCGACTTTGGGGAGATATTTTATTGATTCTGCAGAAATTTCCCAAGAAACAGAGCGGGAAAACGGAAAACAGATATAAAACAGCACAAAGCATAGATCACTGTGGGGGAAAAAAAGAAGAAGGAACTATTCATTATGTGATCATGTGGTTACACAAAGTCGGAATGAATGTAAAAATAGCTTGTACATTAGCATAGAGTTTATGCATTACAAGATTAAAATAATGAATCTTCATCACAAGCTAAACTTTGCAAGTGTTGTCTCAGGTACTGTTGAATTTTCTTTTTCAGTTCTGTAGACACGAGTTTCGTTTGTGGTTTCCGTTTTGTGTTATGGTGCGAGAGACTAACAAATCAGTTGAGATTACGCTGAGTGATGTCTCTAGACCACGAACTCGTTTCTCCAGAGATTGCATCCCGTTCTGAGAGCTCTCCATGAATCTCTGAAAGAGATCTAAGAGACTGTTCTGTTGTTTTTCGATCTGAGTGATTTGGCTTCTTATCAGAGACAACTCTTCTGCATTCTTTCTCTGACAAGAACTGCTTCCTTCAGAACTATCTTCGTCACTACTCTGAACAACAACTTGTGACTGGTTAGAGCCGTTGTCGTTGACCTTAGATGGCTTTTGCTTTGCCGGGAACAGAACCCTTTTAGCTCGATTCTGCTTCTCTTTCGTCTCCACAGCTTCTTTACTATCTTTCTCTTCAACATCTTTTAACTTTGAGCTTAATGTTGCGCTTGAGTTCGTATCTTTGCCTTTCAGTGTGTTGTTGCTTCTTTTAGAAGTTGCAGAAGAAGCTGATTTGGAGAAGGAAGAAGACTCTGTCGCAGACAAACCAGAAGAAGCTAATTTGGAAGACTCTGTAGAATCACTTTCAGGCTGCTTCCATAGACTCAGTGTACGATTCATCGTCTCTCTGACAAGTTTAACCTTATCAAATCTTCTGCTCTCAAGAATATCTACACAGGCTTTCTTATACAAAGGAGCCAATTCTTGTTCCGCCATAGCTACTCTAGCCATCGTCTCTGCAGCAGCTTTTCTCGCATGCCAATCGTTGCTGCTTAGAAACTCAGAGACGTTCGGTAAAAGCCAATCTAACACCGCCTTGTCGCTGTTTCTTCCATTAATGGCTCCGATTATGCTTCCTATTGCTCCTAGAAGTTCCGGTTTCGCCTTGAAACCTTCCGATTTTAGCAATTTTCCAATTTTAGGAAGCGCTTTTTGCAACTGCTCTACGTCAGGCTCGTCAGCGGCGTCAACCGCCGCCGCGAGGCACACGGCGGCGCCGATCTGAGCGTTGGGATCGCAATCGTGGATTAGGGTTTCGATCATTGGTCCCGCGAGGATAGAGAAAGGCGATCCGGTGATGCTGGTTGTCATATCGACGGACGCGGCGGCGCAAGCGGCGCGGACGGAGGAGTCGGGATCGCGTAGACGGCGGAGGACGGTGGAGACCATCTTGGAGAGATGAGGAGCGAGAATATCTCCATGGGAGCGAGAGAGCACGGAGAGGAGCGAGACGCAGTGTTTCCTAACCGGAGATTTCGCGGAAGAGTCTGTGCTCTGGAGACAGTTTATAAACAGAGAGAAAGTCTCCGGAGTTAGGTTTAGAGCGATGGAATCAAGCTCTGCGGCGGCGAGAGCCAACGTATCGCGATCGGAGAGTCGATTGAGACAGGCGATGACTCGCTGCTTGAGATCGGTAACCGTCGCCGGCGAAGAACGGATTTGAACGGAAGGCATTATTCCAAGTAAAGGAAGTCACCGGAGATTATCGGTTTTTTTTGTCGCTAGCAGAAATCCGCCATGTATAAGGAGAGAAGAAGAAAGGCTTTTGTGGAGAGAAAGAAAATAGATTTGGCGGCAGAAAAAGGCAACGGAGAAGATGACTGAACGGTTGGTACTTGGCTTTTAAACAAGACTCGTCTTTGGCTTGCCTTTTAAACTTGTCAAAATTCACACCACCTTCCACAATTTTTTTACATTCCCTGCTTCTTACTTTATATATCCCAAAGATTCCTTGTTTTTTTTTTCTTCTCAACTCCAAAATTTCCTTTTTCATGTCAACTCCAAAATTTCATTTTCTTATTATATACTACCGTACATATGTGCGAATATAATTTTTTGATATATATAGTTAATTGTAATATTTAAATTTTGATTAGTTTTTTTAAATATTGGTATGTTTGTATATATATTGTTTTAATATTTCATAAACTTCTTTCTAAAATCAATGTATTTTAAAACTTTTTATATTTATAATGCTTGTAATAATATATAATCACAAATATAAAAGTTATGTTAAATAATAATTAAAAATTCTTATAATATTTTTTTAAATATTTCTATAATATGCTTAATTTCTCCTTACACAATCTACGATATGTTTTTTGCGTCTTACATAATGTGAATTTGCAAATACATATAATATATTTAAGTATATATTTTTCTTGATTTATTGCAAATTAAACTGAAATAGTTTTACCATTTTTACTTATTCCTAAGAGCGGATAGATAACTGGCACGCATGTGCGAGTATACCAACCACTTCACTACACTTAGAATAGATAAAAAAATTTTAAAAATATAAATTGTATAATAATTAAAATAAAAATTAGACTGTAATCAATCTTAACAAAATACATGCACGTAAAAGTTCGCATGTGACTTCAACTAATGTACAATTAATATATATATATGTATGCGTATTTGTAAAAAAATAAAATATGGCTCTTACGTCTTAAAAAGTTTTTAAGTGACTTTGTAAAACAAAGTGCGAGAGATTTATTTTTATATACTTTTATTTTTTATTTATGATTCATATTGTTTTATCTTGTTATAATTTATTTTTTCGTTCGGTTATTTTTTATTTCATTTACTATCTCAAATTTTCCATATACAATGAAAATAAATATATATATATGCATATGCCATTATTTTTATTTAAAATATGATAAGAGATAAGATGAGATGATAACATAAGTTATGTACATTTTAGAAAACAACAATAAAAAGATGATAAAAGTTATAGAAAAATATATGGTCCTATTAATATTATAAAATAATAATTAGTATATACTTTATTCAATTAGTAAATATCGGTTTGAAAATAAAATTATTCAAAATTATGTTTTTTTAAAACCATTTCAATAAAGTTAATTATTTTATTATTTTAACATTTTATTCTTTAAATTATTTTTATCATGATTGTATTTTATATAAAATTGTATTATTTAGTAATTTTTTTATTTAGAAATTGTTTAGATGTTATTAATATATTTTGTAAATTAATAACTTTCCGATATAAAAATATATCATACTTCAAGTATTATTAATAAATATAATTTTTACTATTCTATTAGATCATTTAGTATTATTTTTTTTTTGTTTTTATGTGAAATTATAATATATATATATATTGTTAAAAAATTCATAATTATATTTTATGAAATTATGAATATATGTAAAAAAATTATAATTATAATAACTTTTATTTTCTGTTAATTTAAATTTGTTAATTTTAGTGTTACAAATATAATCTAGTTTATTTATGTTTTAATTCTATAACTATAATTTTAATTCAACCAATCAAAACATTTCGTTTATTTTAGAAAGTTTGACATGTCACATTTACATGTCATCAATTAAAAGCACTAACTTTGGCTGTAGTGTTGACAAGTAAGCTATTTTCAATAATGTTACTTCTTAAATAATATGTAGTGTATATGTGTCAGATAAAAAATATTTAGTTGACAGCAACATCAAAATAGTTTTCAAAAATAGCAGTACCAAAAAAAATTAAACCAGTGTTTTTGTTTTATATTGCTAGTTGTTATATCATTGTTGATATAACAATTAAAGCAGTATATTTCTTACTACAAATGTAAAAGATTATCAATCAATTTACCTGTCAAATTTCTATTATCTTACTTGCTTTTTAATTAACGTCTTAGTACATCGAAATAGATTCAATATACCAACAAAGGCGCCAGAATAGCTAAGTAATTAAATCGTCTATCATCATCATTCACCAATGTTGTAATCTTGTAAATGTCAAATATCTACGAAAAATCAGAAACAAAAAAAATCTAAAGATTCTGCACGTATTATTTTATTACAAGCAAAAGAAGGAAACTATATATATATATCCACAAGGTTACACATAAGCTGATGAGCAAGTCAAGCTAACACGGTTTCCTCTTAACACGTAACAAAACGTGAAAAGGATTATTCTTTCTGTTTTTAACAAAAATTAGGATGATATTTTATTATGTTCTAGATTTTTAATTTTGTGACAATACTATTATACTTTTTCAACAAAAGGCTGTATATTGATAAGTTCTTTAAAAACTCTATATTGTATATTGAAGACAAAAAGAAGTTTTGTATTTCCAGAGATAAGTGTTTAATTTAAAATGTGATGGTAGGCATCATGTTTTCCCATATGAAAATCCTCCAACGTTTATGGAAGCCATGTTTGTTTCTACCGACTGATTTCAAGAAGCCCAAAACGGACAGTACTTATATTAATCTTTTGTTGTCCTTAGTAAATATACTTCGTTTTAAAAAAAGTAAGAGTCTTACGGTGGGACATATTAAAAGAAAAATCCAAAGCTTTTGTACATAAGTAATCAATCTACCGGGTGATCAATCTGATTCTGATGCCATTTTTAGGAATCAGAAGTTTTTAGTTAAAAAATCATTTGGCAACGAGAGAAGAAGTACGAAGAAGAGTGTTGATCCTTATTTACGAAGTTAGTGATTTCGATTTTGGTGGAGACAAAGAACCAAATGGGATGGTGGTTTTTAACTCCGACAAAAATTTAAGACGTTTTTACTCTTATGAAAGGACAACAATTCTCACATGTTAAATCCAACATAACGTTGGTTAAAAAAGAGGTAAACCAGTTATTGAATGTTGAAATTAATTTCAGAATTAAGATACATAAGGTCCCGGAAAAAACTTGGAAATTTCTCCAATTTCTCCTCCAACAAACGACAAGGAAATATGATTTGGTTGCAAAACCCTTGCTTTTTGGCCTACAAATAATCTGTACCTACTTCAGTCACCGACTAATAACAGATACTAAAAATAATTAGAAATATGGAAATGTCTTGAATATATAGTCTACTATACAAAGTTTCAACAAGGATCTCAGAATATTCGAGGAGAAAGACCAACGCAATCAAGTTTTAAATGTGTAACAAGCAAAGTTCCACTAAACTGGGCCGTTCCCTGCAGCCTTAAAGTGGGCCTAGACGAAATAGAGGTACATAGGGAACCTGATCCATTAAATTAATTTAAAAAAATAACATTGGCCCATTAAATTAATTTTAAAAAACAGTATTGGGGCATTCCGAGAATTGAACTCGGGACCTCTCGCACCCTAAGCGAGAATCATACCACTAGACCAAATGCCCTAGTTGATACAAAGTTGGAAAACTAGATATATCTCCACTACTTTTATCAATTGTTTCTTAGACCAAATATACACAGCACTTGTAAAATGGTCGATCATATGTGTTGCAGTGCTGTGTTTATTAGATTAAAATATGTGATATAAGTGCATACGAATTTGTGACGGTCTCTTTATCCACACATTGTAATCTAATTTTTTGGGAATTATTAATGATTGTGTTATATATATTTGAAGACATCTTGAACATGTGTAGAAAGAAAAACTAGTCCACCTATGAAATCTATGAAAAAATGTATTTTCACAAAAGATTCATGATCTTTGAAATACTGAAACCTTACTTTTTTAAGGTATGCAATGAAAGATTGATAAATTCATGATACATTTACAGATCTACTATAGAAAATATACTCGAGTAATAAATCTCATAGAATGTTCCCCAAAATGAAAAATAATAAGTATCATAGAAATGTTCATCAGAGAAAACTCACACGGTGTAATATACTAATATGTGATAGTAAAAGAAACATATACGTGAATTACAGAATTGCCAAATAATTTTAAAGTTTCTACATTATAATAATGTTTAGTTTGCCCTTCAAAACTTATTGAATAACTGTACAAAAAAGGTATTGAATAACACCATAAAACATATAAACACTAGATAATAATATGTATATACACATATTTATAATTTAATATCAAATAATTTATAGAAAATAATAAAAAGGTGAAATAAAAAACTAGACCACCCATTAAATAAATAAACTATATTCCACCCATTAAATAAATAAACTAAAATTGAGAATATAGTTTTTTTTAGTTTTTTTCTATTTTTGTATTTTAATTTTAGTATTTGTTTTCTTTTTTTTTACTTTGTGAGATTTTTCTAAACAGTTATTTTCATATTTGAAATAAGTTTATTTTTTATTACTTAACTATTCATATTGTTCGGGAGCAAATTTTGAGATGTTTATGAGAATATGTAATTGTCCGGATTTGTGGATCTGTGACTCTGAGTTTTGTCCTTTATGAATAAGCGATATGCGGTTCCAGAGCAGAAGTCTAGCGGGTCTTGCATACATGGGCAAACGAGTGAGTTCGATCTCCGGGTGGACCGAAAAGGGATTTCCCGCTCGAAAGTTCTCCGCCGCTCAAGTCAATGCACATGCACGCTCTACTGGGAACAAATACTCGAGAAAGTAGGTTTTGAGGTGATTAAGGATTGGATATCCTGTCTGATGATTGTGATATCCGTCTGGTGTTTAGCGGATGAGAAAACATAAGAGATGGACTGTGAAAAGAGTGAGGTGGGAGTTTTCTTTGCACGAGTATATAGTAAGAAATAGAAGGTAAAGAGAACATTTATCTCGGGAGGATTTTCCTCCAGGAAACGGTAAGCGTTCGCCTTCAGTCTCGCTGCTGTGTGGCTTGAGGCGAGCTCCAGCGAAGCGGAAGTCGGAGGTTTTCCCCTCCTCCTCCTTTGGATATCTCTCATTCTCTCTCTCTTTTGGATATGTC